AGCAGATGCACTTTTCTTAAAAGATTCAATGATGACATTTACTTCGTGTTCAACTTGTGTATCAGGAAGAAGATAAATAGTAACAAATTCGTTACTACTGACATCATTTTCAGTATGATTAACTATGTCTTGAGCCAATGAACAAAAACTGGACAAAATTTCAAACTAAATAAAAACAAAATTAATCTTGAGAGTGAGTGTAGGAATGAAGGAAGGGTGAGAATGAGATGAGCGTGTGCCTAAATTCATCTTTTCTGGACACAGTATTTCTTGTTTTTGAATGAGGTAAATTCTTTTGTTTGTCCTCATATAATATAAATCAATTCTGAAACTAGAATACTAAATCTCTTATGAAGAACTGTGCGACAATCAGCTCAATAATTGTTTTTGAGTAACTAATATTAACCTACCTGAGAACTAGCTGTTGTTCGAAAATCCGACACTCCATATCGACTTGCATTCGATAAATATAATGCATGAATCCATTCTTGACTAACGAAACGACTCGAACAAACAGGATGGACTTTGATTGTATTGGAAACAAAATTTTTATAAGATATGCTGGTTGATGAACATGGACATGAAAGAGTTTTGTTATGTCTAGAGTAAAGTTCATTGAATTTGACAGGTGTAATATTAGAGACAGTAACTGTTGAAGATTCTATCTGCATCATAGTAGCGTAGAAAATCATATATAAAGACACTGAAATAAATAAGAAAAATTATGCAACTACTTTTATTTGATACAGTTAGAAAGCTTGAGGGTGTGGGAGCGATCTCTAACTGATATCCACACTCACACCCACCCTCAAACGAAAAACGTGTATGTGACTTACCCACGAGTAGAAGAACGTACAACCAAGTTTTATATTTTTGATGTTTAAGAACAATTGCTGGATCTTGTACTTCATCATCGTCATGATACTCATCTTCTTCGAGCATAAAGAGATTATAATCGAATACTTTTCGAATAAGCCAATGAAATAAAGACTTGAGATTCATTCTTCAAAGAATCAACTTTTTGAAGAGTGTAATATTTGTTTTTGATTACTTCAAAAGTCACAAGAATAGTTTACTGTAAAAATGAAAATTTATTATGCAAAACCGTTATCAACGAATAGGTAGCAAAATAAAGAAATAACTAAAAATATTTTTAAGATTAACCAAGGGCAGGTATTCTCAAACAGTGAAATACATGTTGGGTGTCGGTAGTATTGAGCGTGGGTGTGTTTATTGTATTTATCTTGTACTCACACCCACACCCTCAACATGTACATGTATATGAATCTGGAAAACTGTCAATATATTCAGATTAGTACACTTAAAAACCATCGACCAAACATCATCAAACCCTCAAGATGGCGAATATTGTCGGAAGGTGAAAAATCTGACAAATCTAGCAATATCACTCCGCTGACATGTCACAGAAAATCTTCGGATGGCTCGACGATTTATAGGAATGGTACGATGCTATATTCCACAGATATCTAACTAAAAATGCAAGTTCCGATAAAAATGATGTTGAGCAGTAGAAAATGGACTGTTGTGTCTTCACTATCAAAACAACTTTATTAGAGTTGATTGATATTTTGTTTCATATACTGGAATCTTGTAGCACTAATGTAGAAAGTCTTAATATGTGTTCACGAATTACATTTCGTTTATGATTACATTATTGCATTGGATTTTAACAACATACTCACAGAAATGAATCGAAGAATACTGTGGAAATATGACAAACAACACGATCAACACTGAATTTGAATAGAATGAGCATTCTCTTGAACACTCATATAATGACAAACTGTGATCGATCGTATTCATATAACTTATTTCTATTATAATAAATTAAAAAAAACGTTTACGTGACTACATGATATTTTTGATTGTTTGGTAATAAATGATGATGGATGTTAAACTTGTTTTTAATTCCGGCATGCATCTTATTATTATAATATGTTTTTATATAGAAATTTGTCCGTGGAATACAACTTTTAAATGAAGATAGGAAAAGATCTAAAGGATGGATGTGGATGAGGGCGAGGTGCGTAAGAGGTGTTCTCAGTCTAGCACATCCTCGCTTATAGCCTTACTTCATTCACACCTACACTCTAATTTTTTCATTGTATTCTTGATGGAATATCGAGAATCACGCTTCTTATCATATTTACTTAGCTCATGGTGAAAAAGAACAGTATGCAGCAAAATCTGTATTATTTGTTGTTGCAATATTTTGCTCTTCCTAACGAATATTAAACGTCGATTTGATTGTAATGAGTACATGTCTTATACAATGTCTTTTTCTACTGCATCCCGATTAATAAGCATACGCCACTCTCTGCTTCTTCTATATTTTCTTACAGGTAATCTTATTGCGATTTATTTTTCATTCTGGGTTTGGATATTAATGTGATACAAATATGATATTCATGCCCACATCCACCCTCAAACGAAGGTAATTGTTTATAGGATTAAATACACAACCTCTTTTAAACACGTTATATTATGCATTTATCAATGAATAAGACTTTTGATCATTTCTTGATTCATCCACACCCCATATCGAAGATCCATAAAGTTTAATGAAAACAACTCAGAATGAAATAATATCAATTGATTAAACATCTTTTATTTATTTGAGAATTTGACATTGAATACTCAAAGCATTTCAAACAATAAAACATTACAACTTGTTTAATTTTATATATTTTGATAAATTAATTCAATTACAAATTATTTCTTTACTAATAAAATAGATTTCATTTAGACACCATTTATATTTACTATTGATGAAAAATATCAAAGGTTTCTTATTTCTTTCAAAATACATTTCATATTGCTCATCAGATGAACCGAATAGGAATAAAATCAATATATCTGTGATAAGTGTAGATTAACAGAAAAATGGTTGATTCAACATGATTCCAAAGATTCTACGACCTCGAAGCAGGTGTGTTCTCCTTGGCGATTTCACTTCTTAGAATTCACTGTTTTGGATGAATGTGAGTTTCTTTTCTTTACCGACATTCATCCTCAAGATAGTTTCCACGAATTCTAAAAAAGATTTCTCTTTTGTCTTCCTACTATTGAATTCGTTATAAAATGCATCTATGGTCAGCGTACATCGGATCCAAGCGTTTATATTCTGTTGGCCTGGTTCACGATTAACTTCGATCTCAAATGCAGTTATTTTTAGTTAAATGGATAAAGAGAAATAAATACGAGACGAAAGAAAGACTTTCATACATGATTATGATCATTTCATATGTAACAAAATAGGCGTGTTTAAAATAAGTTACCAAATATTCGACAATAATCGAATGAAAATCTGACTAAACCTTATAATATATCCAATAATTATTCATATAGTCGAAGAAATATCAGAACAAGTGCCGAAATATTCAATACTAACTCAGCTCATTAAATAGTTCTCCAATTCCGTGTTTTAATATTGAACGCCATCCGGAATTTAAACGATTTGATCCTCATTCAAACTGAAATTCAAATTTGCTGCATGTCTGATCTACACTCCCTGCGCTTTGAAAGTAATAGGTGCAATACGAATCGCGGAAGGTGTGGGTTCGAGTCAAGGGTGCCACATTTCCCTTACTATTACTAGTAAGTGGTTACTGTTACCAGGTAAGTGGTGGGTGATCATTATTATCACTCCGTAATCAACAATTAATAGTAAAACCAGTGACTAATCACTGTTAAATATGATATTTTCAATTATGAAAACACTTACTGTTACCTTGGTAAGTGGAAGTGATAGTAACAGGTAATATGACACCCCTGGTTCGAGTTCCACGAGGATTATTTTTTTCTCGATCCGCACATGTTTTTCTTTCCTTTTCTTCCTATATAAAGATTTGTTTTTATCTTGTGCAAGGAAGGAAGAAATCCATTCGAGATAAATAATTTTATCATCAGTTGGAAAGTAAACAAGTAATTTTTTTCCAACTTACATTATTTATTTTGTTTGCCACTCATTCAACTTGCGTACAATCCAGGGAGCAGGTATCTTCTACATTTCGCTGAGAGAAATCATTAAGGACACATACATAAAAAAGGCACAATAGTAACTACTTTTCTATCAACCTGAGTGACTACGTATGATTTGCTTCATCCTCTTGTCTTTTCGAGAGTATGAGTGAGGGAGCAGGTGTATTTCCTCCTTTTACTCTTAATAATTGTAATGATTCGAATTGAAAATAGAATCGAATTTTGATGAATAAACATTTAGTCTTCCTATCAAACTTGATAATATAATTATATGTGAGCTTTATATCTAATTTATTTGTTTCTACTTCAAATAAAATACGATTACTGATTCTTTTCTCGTTCTGGTCATCACCCTCTACCTATTTTTAACATCTGGTTAACATATTACTTCGTTTATTTTCGTACGCATTGATATTGAGAAGACTGAGAGAATAGAAAACGGACGAAAAGAGAAAAAAAACATTCTTTTTAATTTTCTCTTCTCATTTAAGTTGTGGGTCTAGAATGTGAGTTCAGAGAAGATAGGCGTCCACAGCCCACTCACTATTAGCTCTCATATATACAGAGCTGTAGACAAACAGATGTCCGAACCAGTTAGAGTAGAAGGAACATCTAGTTTTCGTTTAGCGACAGCGTGTATCATCACTGCCGCTAACACCTACTCATCCCACATCCAAAATGATTTGAAACTGTTTAATATTTTTCTTAGTTTATGTTAAAGTGAAAAAATTCTTATGACTTCAAGTGGTTTAATTGAACGGCAAGCAATTGGGCGTTCTGGAAACATAGGTTCACTGTATGATATTCGTACAGATCAATTCGTAATGGGAAATTTATTTAATAACGTATTACCGGACTCATTTATAAAACGTTGCGATTGTGCTAATGTAAGCTATTGGCTTGATTTTCATAGTTCACAAAAAGAAACATTCAATAATTTAAATCTTGAAGCTAATTTAAAATTAGCATTAATGTTAGAATTAATGAAAGTCGAAGGATCAACGAAATATTTAAGACAAACAAAAACAAATAGTCATACTGTTCGAGCTACGTTTATATATAAAGCGAAAACAAAACAAGAAGATCTACAAGTATCAACAAAAGGTTTACATGAATATTTTTCTTCGCATGCATTTGAAAATCCCGATGCAACCCATGTCGTTATTGGAATTAAATGGGGAGCTAATGTAGCCGCAACTTTTGAACGAATAGTGGACAAACATGATGATGTAAAACGAATCGAAGGTACATTGACAGCAAACTTTGCAAAGCCTACATTTGGTATTAGTGGAAATGCAAATTTAAAATATAATAAGGAACAAAAAGCGGATCTTGAATCATTAAGAATAAGCTTTTCTGGCGATGTATTAATTGAAAATTGTCCACGCACGATTGATGGAGTCATGGAAGTTTATCAAAAAGTGCCATCAATGATTAGATCATTGAATGATGGGAAAGGACAACAACTCACATTTATTCTGTGTTCTTTAAAACAAATTGCAGAAATGACAAAATTTGAACAAAAAATGACTAGGTTAGTCGAACAAATTTTTTGCATGCATTATTGTACTCAACTTGTTTCATTTTTTATTAGAATGGTAAAAGAAGTATCGGAACAAACTGTTAATCGAATTGAGAATATTTTTGAACAAATAAATGATGAACAAAGAAAATTAAATGATTTTATAGATGAGATTAATCCATGGAAAAAATTTCTTCCTCGTCAATGGTTTGATTTAGTCAAAAAAAAATTATCAAATTTTAATGAAGAAGAATCAAAACTAAAACGTGATTTATCAAGTTTATTAGTTGCTATTCGTAGTAATTCAGCTGAAGAATCAAAAATGATTGAACTTATTGATAATTTTAGTAAACATCCATGTTCACCTGAATCAATTGAAAAATTTTTTTATGAAAAAGAAAATATAAAAACGAAAATAAAAACATTAAGAAGAAGTAGCCCGGATAAAACAGAATTAGTTACAAATATCACCTCAATTGAAGATTTTATACAAGATTTTTATGATAATGATGTTTATTTATTACATATATGTGAAAAATGGCAACAGGAAGATGAAGAAAATTCATTAAAACAAATGAGATATTTTATTAATTTAAAGAAAAATGAACAAGACACACAAAATAATAAAGCCAAATTTTGGGTTATTGATTATGATTTACATTCACGTTTAGAAAACAAGCCGACTAATTCTGTTATTTATTATGCAACAAGAGCAACAATAAAATCAAAAGATTTCTATAAGGAATCACGGAGTAAGTTTATTATTTATCAAATAGCAAAATATATTTCATTACTTTTTTGTGAATAAATTCGAATGTTTAAAATATTCGTTGTTAGATTAGCACCAATATAACTTAAATTCATTTAGGCAAACTTTCGCGAAAACAAATTGATCTAATTTTGACCGAAAATTCCATGTTGACAGAACAACGTCTTAAAGATTGGCATCAACAATTTATGAATGATTAGTAAGTACACTAGTAATTTCAATTTTTCTTCATTATCTACAATCCTTTTATATTAAGTTCCGATGGTGAACTGAATGAAGAAAATTTTGTTTGCGAATTAGGGAAACTTTTTCCAAAGTAAGTTTATCAGTTGATGTGAGTGAAGAGTAATATTTGAAAACATTCATATTTCACTTTTAGAGGTGATCCGATAAACTTTCGTGATTTTGCATTTCAAGTAATTGATAAGGATAAAAGTGGCACAGTAAACTTTCCAGAGTTTATGACTGCCATTGCTATTACACATCCAGGCGATTTAATAAAACGACTTCATCTGGTTTGCGATAGAACTTTTTTATTCGGATAAATATCAATATTATATTTGCATTTAGGTATTTTCTGTTTGTGATTATGATTGTTCCAGAGAAATTGGTGCTAGAAAAATAATTAAGTTTATTGAAGCTGTAGCAGAACTTAATAATGGTCCATCAACAGTCAATACAAATGAAGCAAAACACATTGCTGGACAAATTATGAAAATCTGTCGTAAAAATAAAGACGATATGGTGACAGAGGAAGAATTTATCCGATGGTTAGTTTTCGAAAAATATTCATATATCTTCAGAATCAAATTATATCTTTTCTTTATTTAGTTGCAGAGGAAATTCCAAAATTGCTAAGGCTTTTTTACCAGACGTTAAAATAACAGGTAAGTTATTCGCTCAACTAAAAAGATAGAACCTACCATCACAAATAGTAACTAATTTAACAACGTCTCTCTGTCTGAAGTGTGTTGTAAAGCTACTCATCTCGTTGGTACATAATATCTTGAGAGTGGACATGGGTCTGGATGTAGTCAAAAGAGTACTTATCCTTACCCAAATTCACACCCACACCAGTCATTATTTGTCTCAAAAATCAATACTTTCATTTCAACAAAATTCAACTTTTTTTTCATTTTTTTAGAACAAATCAAATGGAAACAAAATGGAAGTATTTGTGTGGGAGGAAATGAACAAGGAACTGAATTAAATCAACTCTATCTTCCTAATGGGATCTCTATTGATCATCACAATAACATTTTCATTGCTGATTGTTTCAATCATCGTATTGTTGAATGGAAATATAATTCGAACGAAGGACAAATCATTGCTGGGGGAAATGGACAGGGAAATGGAAATGATCAGTTGAAGTCTCCAACAGATGTTCTTGTTGATAAACAAAATGATTCTTTTATCATTTCTGATTTTGAGAATCGACGAGTAATCCGGTGTTTCCGCCAAAACGAAAGAAAACAAGAAATTCTCATTTCTGATATTCGTTGTGTTGGTCTGTCAATGGATAAAAATGGATTTATTTATGTTTCTGATGCTGAGAAAGATGAAGTAAGACGATGGAAAGAAGGAGATGAAAGAGGAACAATTGTCGCAGGCGGAAATGGAAATGGGAATCATCTCAATCAACTCGAAGGACCTAATTTTATCTTTGTTGACGAAGATGATTCTCTTTATGTATCAGATTTTTTTAATCATCGTGTGATGAAATGGAGAAAAGATGCAAAAGAAGGAATTGTTGTTGCTGGTGGAAATGGTCCAGGAGATAGTCTCAACCAATTGTTTCATCCTCAGGGAGTAATTGTTGATCATTTGGGTCAAATCTATGTAGCAGATTGTTTTAACCATCGAGTAATGCGTTGGTGTGAAGGAAATACAGAAGGTGAAGTTGTTGTTGGTGGGAATGATGACGGAAAAGAATTAAATCAATTAAATGGTCCCAAAGGTTTATCATTTGATGATGAAGAGAATCTTTATGTTGTTGATAATGGGAATCATCGAATATTAAAATTTGAAAAATGTTTTTAATTAAAATATTTTCCTTTTGATTAAATGAAATTTATGTAAATAAAAATCAAGTAGAATTTTTGATTAAATGATGTTTCTATTATTTGCAAAATAAATTAAATTTTTGATGAAAAAAATAAAAATAATTGGAATTTGCGAATATCTTGAGGGTGTGAGTATGAGTCTGGGTGGATCTGGGTGTGGGTGTGAGAAAAGAAGAGACACCCACACCCACACCCGATTTCTACCAAGATATTTTCTTTAAAAGTTTCTCGCAAAAATCCCTTGTAAATTTGATAAAGATTAATACAACGGTAAAAAAAACTCCAAATCATTACTCGTCGTCTGTTCTTTTTCATTTTCTATAGTAATTTCTAAGAATGTTTTAATGAATGAAATTACAAGATGAATATCTAATAGATAATTATATGTATCACGAGGATTTAACTCATTTTCTAAGTTTAATAATATTTGAGAATCATCTTTAAAAAAATCTAATGCATAACTATTCATATAATATGCTATAGTGTACAGTCATAACAATCAAGATCATAGACAAGATTTCATGAGTCAATAACTGGACTGTAATTTGACGCAATATATTGTGAAAAAATGAATCTATAAATACTCAACAAGAAGCAACTTATTGGGGTTTTTCCAACTAAATAATTCAGTAAAAAAAAGAGAAAATAAAAAACTTGAGCGCGGCGGGGGCTTGTAAGTGAACAAGTAAGATATTTGTTCGCTACGTCTATCACATATGTGTCACTTGGTATTTTCCTTCTTTTCTACTCTCTTCCTTCTTATGTCACATATACTTGAATTTTTCCATTCCTGTCTATCATATGCGTTTAATCTTTTCCTTTCGTTCTCTATGTGTCATCTTTTCATCTGCATCCTATCTAATGGGATTTTCCCGCTCGTTCAACCACGATCATCCGTTGGATTTTTCCGAAAGATGAATAATGCCCCTCATCCTATATATAGCGGATAACTTTTCATAAATAAAGACAGAGAGTTAGACACTGAACACCAGTCGAGAAGACTGTAACACCAGTAAAATGAACTATGTGTAATTATTTTTTTTATTTTTCTTTGTTTCGTTCACTCAGACAGATCTTTTCATTGCACGTCTACTAAAAACCAAAATAATAAATATTTAAAGGTGAAAAGCTTTGCTTTTTCGCAAATAAGGTAAGTGATACTGTCGTATTTTTCTTCTAGCTTCGAGAGAAATTTTTCTGATTTTTCACCTGATTTTGTAAAAAAAAATTCCTTATCAATTCCTGTTCTTTAACGAAAGCCCTTGATTTCTAAAATTTGAATTTGGCAACCCTGATTAACACTCAATAAAAAGCAGCTCACTAGACTTTTTCCAACTAGATAATCCAGTAAAACAAAGAGAAAACAAATAATTAGAACGCAAGCTGACAGCAAAGAACAGAAAAAAGTCAATGATTCACATCGTTTCTATCGAGATTTTTTAAAATGAGCGGCATAAACTAAAGACACAAGATAATAAAAAATACGTTTCTTTGTTTTCTATCGGCTCAGAAATATTCATTGTTTTTCTTTGTATTGCTTCATTATATAAAAAAAGTAACGACATATTAAAACTAGTATGCAGAAAAAGGTTTCACTAAAGGGGTATATGTCTTATTTTGCTAAGTGAATCTATTTTAGGTGTAAGATATGTTTGATATACTCGTTTACGACATAAGAGATCTTCTAGATCGTCCACATAGTTATATAAAAGGATTTATGAAAGTGCAATGTATAATACACAGTTTACGAATCTCTTATTCTTCACATTTTTTATAATGTATCAATGATTTAAAAATCCAGAAGAATAGCAGACGAGCAGAAATCCTTCTAGAATAATTTATTCTTAATATAACCTACTTATTAAGGAGTATTTCATCTTAAACTCAAAGTTGTATCTCAAGAGATTTCTCTCTCAGGATACTCTATACAGCTGTTACTAAGAGCGTCTCTGGATAGCCCTTTAAAAGTTAATACTGCTACTCATTAATAGCTTTTTATATGAGAAAAATATTAACATGTGGATTATGCACTCCACTTTGACTGACGCCAACTTTCGCTCACGTCATACGACCGGAATCTATATCATTTTGAAGTTTGAGTTAATTTATCTTTTTCTATAATTATATCAATAGTCATCAACAATCTGAGAAGGCAAAAGAGTTTTTTTGTCGATTTTAGATTATAAAAATATTCAAGTTTGACTAGAATAACAATTGTGGACATGAGTAACACAGTTGCACCTAATGAAGTAATGTATTAAATAGAAAGAAAACTATTTTATGTTATTTTATTTTTGAATATTTTAGCCGGCAGTAATTAACCGTGCTCGAACACCATTAAGAGGATTGTATGTATATATTGTAAATAAAAATAAATCATCAAAAGAATCTATTATTCTAGATACGAACATTTTCGAAAGCGAAAACTAATTTGGACAATATTCCTTATTATTTGTATTATTGTAGTTATAGTTGCTGTAACAACTCCTGTTTTATTGAACAAAACTAAAAGAGAAAAACCATCAACAATGGAGATAACAACAACAACAACGATATCAACAACAACAACAACAACAACGACATCATCAACAACAACAACGACATCATCAACAACAACAACGACATCATCAACAACAACAACGACACCAACATCAACTACAACAACAACACCAAGTATAAACGGTATGATTTTGCTAAAACTAGTAGATTCCAGAATTTCGCCAATACATCTCCTGGAATATTGCTAATTGGCGAAAGTACAGCAGACTTTTGCCAATTTCATTGTGAAATAGATGTAGACTAAAAAATTTTCTCAGCTACACTGACGTGCGAAAGCTATCATATACCTGTACTAATAGCATTAATGTGAGCTCTAACATATATCCTCTATCTCTATTAATATTGTTTCATGACAACTGGCAAAATCCACTGTACTTTTACTACTGGCGAGTGTTCTGTTGGCGGCAGGCTTATTAGCGGACCCCCCGCCACCCAAACTACTTAGTTCTTTATTTCAAAGAATTTATAAAAGAGAAATTATTGTTAGAATTAGTTTTTCTTTTTCAATCTTAGATATTTTATCTGAACGATGACATCAAATAGTTTAATCGAGCATAATCGAAAGTCATACATCCTACTTTCTACAGAATAATCTGAGTATGTGTGTGTGTGCATGGGATGTGGAGAGACGATCAGTACCCACACCGTTGGAATTGATAGAGTATATAATTATGTACTTCGTGTACTTCACAAAATCTAAGGTTCGTAAGCCAGTACATGATTTCATTTCAGCACATATATTCTTATAAATCAATTTCAAAAAGCCGTATAAAACTAAGTACATTTTGTACTCGTACTCACGCAGCCCTCTTTTCTGTTGCTGATGTTGTTATAATAAGATTAATTTATAGTTATGTTCAATGTAGCTTAAGAAACATTATTGACCATTAATGTAAATTTCTTTCGAGCATAGCTTGTAAACTTCGTCGAGAGTCGAAAAACACACGAATCAGTATAATTATCACAGCGGTCAATTTAAGACAAACATCTTTTATATACTTGATTGAGATAAGGTGAAAACGGAAAATATAGAAAAATAAAGATATGTGAAGAGAATTTGTACAACAGATTTGAATACTGCTCTCGGTATACATAAGCTTCAGGTGATATGAAACAGACATATGAAAGACTGTCGTTACAATAATGAAAAATACTGTGCATAAGAGTATTAAATGTTGAGTGTTTCATTGTCTAATCTTGTATAGTCTAAATATATAAAAATGTAATTACTAGGATGGTTTTCTACTGGCAATATGACTATTGCACGAGCTTCTCACACAGCATCTGTATTATCCAATGGAAAAGTATTAGTGACTGGTGGATTTAATGGAAATGATACTTTAAATAGGACTGAGCTGTATGATCCATCAACAAGTATTTGGACAACTACTGGTAACATGACTAGTGAACGATGTTATCACACAGCATCTGTATTATCAACTGGGAAAGTATTAGTTGCTGGTGGATCCAATGATGATATTGGTTATTTAGATAGTGCCGAATTGTATGATCCATCAACAGGTATTTGGACAACTACTGGTAACATGAATAATGCACGAGGTGGTCACACAACATCTGTATTATTAAATGGAAAAGTATTAGTTACTGGTGGATTTAATGGAAATGATACTTTAAATAGTACTGAGCTGTATGATCCATCAACAGGTATTTGGACAACTACTAGTAACATGACTAATGAGCGAGGTAGTCACACAGCATCTGTATTATCAAATGGAAAAGTATTAGTTGCTGGTGGATCCAATGATGATATTGGTTATTTAGATAGTGCCGAATTGTATGATCCATCAACAGATATTTGGGCAACTACTGGTAACATGAATAATGCACGAGGTAATCACACAGCATCCATATTATTAAATGGGAAAGTATTAGTGACTGGTGGATTTAATGGAAATGATACTTTAAATAGAGCTGAGCTGTATGATCCATCAACAAGTACTTGGACAACTACTGGTAACATGACTAATGAACGAGGTGGTCACACAGCATCTGTATTATCAACTGGGAAAGTATTAGTTGCTGGTGGATCCAATGATGATATCGGTTATTTAAACAGTGCCGAATTGTATGATTCATCAAAAAGTATTTGGGCAACTACCGATAACATGAATAATGCACGAGGTGGTCACACAGCATCTGTGTTATCAAATGGAAAAGTATTAGTTACTGGTGGAGTTGATAATACTACTTTTTTAAATAGTGCAGAGTTATATTAATTATTTGGAACAAATTAACTTTCACTTATCTTATTCTTTTTCTTGCAAGTAATGCAAATTCTAAACAATACTTTAATCAGGAGAATTCTTATTTTATGATATTCGCGAACTGTTTCTTTCTATATTTTAACTGGATTATCACATACTTTAATACTCCATCTCAAATAAAAATAAATATCTTTGTTTTTCTGCTCTTAAAGATTAATTTATTATGATTAACAAAAGTTACAATTGAAACGATAATTGAGGGTGTGGGTGTGGGTTATTGGATTTAGTATCCAGACAACCATCGAAACATTTTACTTACCGAAAGGCTTTGAAGTAAGTTCATGAACGGTATAGATGAATATATCTAAAAATAATAACAACAGTAAATCTACAAATATATTAACATATGGTGTAATATGAATATAGATGCGTGAAACAAAATACCGCATTTTAACTATCTGTTTTTCTATATAATTATTATGCATTTCAACGAAAGAGAACAAATGGATAGCGAAAATTTATCGGATACTTTTGTTATAATATCTGTGCATAATTGTATATTGATCTACTTTTTCTTTGTTAAAATTTGATTTTAAGATTATATTCAGGATCTTCCATTTATAATATCTCACGATTTCCATTCGTGTTAAAAAAGCCATTTCTCTCGATGTTGCGACGTCTCTCATTCATGACGTATTGATATAAATTCCTTGAAAGATATGTATTTATGCATGTGAAAGTGGCAAATATTAGTGAAAAAATCACGTGAATCTGAATAACTAGCAGAGATTTAAACTCATGAAATAAACAGATTCATTATATCTTTTTTTTAATAATATTTCGACATTTATCTGCACATAAAATTATTATGCAACAGTAAGCAGTTTAAAATATATTCTTTTTTCATTTCAATCAAAATCTTGTACAAATTCTATTGCATTCTAGACATTATTGAATCGTCCTCGTCGCTATTTGTTATACTTTTGAAGCGCTTACTGTTTAATTGTAAATGTAGTTTTCGTATCTGTGAAAAAATAAACACAACATATCAAGAAAATAATCGGAGCAAAAGCCTATTTATTCATCATTCGATTATAAAAACTATATGCTTATTCTTTTTTGTTTTTTTTTGGATACAAAGAAAAGAAAACAGAACATATGACAAACATCCTTGATAAAATAAAACAAGTGAAGATTGTACGTAATGGATTAGATTTTTTCTTCTGTTTATACATCAAATTAATCGGATATTTTGAACAATTACCAAATAAAATTTTATTATATTTATTTGAAAATTATATACATTTAATTGATGTTTATTTGGCATTTTATTTTCTTAATAATCGTCGAATAAATGAAATTATAAATTCTGCACATTTTTATATTGATATACCTTCAAAAGAGTTATTTTATGTGAAATATTTTTCACATTTAGCCAATCAAATTGTTTCATTACGTTTATCAATATTTTCTAATGATGATTTAGATCTATCAAAATTAATTAATCTACGATATTTACATATAGAAAAACCAACACATAAACAATCAATTTCAATTCAACCTGAAATACTTTCACCTTGTTGGTACAGTGTGGGAGAATTACCAAAACATTTAGAAAATATCAATCAATTATGTTCTTTTAAATATTTACATTTTTTTATTTTACCTGATGGAAAAATGATTCGTATTTCATTAAAATCTGATCAAACTTCTATTAATCAATAAGATAAATGAAGATTAATATAGATACACAATAGATAAAATCTGTTCCTTTTTCTGATCAGCAAATGTAGTGAGACAAAAACCAAAATGACAGATTAAATGTTGTCGTTTTTTTAACAATAAACAAACAAATATTTTTTCTCTATGTAAAAAACAAAAGTTCACGATATGTTACATTCAATATCCATCGCACATTCACACGCACACGCATACCCATATTTACACTAACACCCCCACCTACAGCCTCAACACAGAACTATATTGAATACATCAAAAATTTATTTTCTTTTCGTTCGCTTACAGAAAAAGAAAAACATACCACAACTTTTCTTTCGTCTAAACAATAGAAAAAGAAAAAATTTTGTTAATGTTTAAAACTAATATTCATTATAAAACATGTGCGTTTCGTTTCAATTAGTAAATGTGGATGTTGTGATCATCTTTTACTCACACTTTAAATACATCTTCGTTTTTGTTCACTATAGTATGCTTCTTCTATATGCAATATGAATGCATCTTGCTAAATCATTCTATTCCTCTGACAAACGTTAGCTCAAGGACGAACAGTACAGCAGTAACGATCGAAATGTTAACAAAGAACAGAAAAATGTGTAAAAATAACCGAACTGTTGATGTACATTGATTGGTAAAGACAGAAAGAAGTAGTCAGAACACGAAAAAGAAATATTTACATAACAATGGTGCGCAAGGAGAGAATGTATTTTTCTCCATTTCTCCATTAAATCTTATTTTGTGTGCCACAAAAAAAAGTCATGATAAGTCTTTAGAGCATTTCTTTCAGTTTGTTAAATATCCTTGCGATTTAGATTTAAGTGTGTGCTATATCTTTACCAGTTACAAGGTAAGTTTTATAACGATAATTGAATATGGAATTGATGAATGTAGTCGTTCACAAGAAAAATATGTATGTGGGTGACAGTGAGGATGACATAATTTAAAAAAATGCTGAAAGTATGAATTATATAAAAGACAGACAAATAAGAAATATTGGCGTATCAGTGGCAATATTTCGCAAGTTTTGTGGAAAGTACACTGACAGTTGTTTTCTATATATTTTTTTATTCTTAGAAAAAGGAGTAGTTTTTGGTCATGGAAACTGATGAAACTGCTCGTAAAACGTTATCTATAAAGATTTCAAGCCAACGCTCCTATTTTATCATCATTTTAGTCTGCAGTTTAGCCTCCTATGCTGTTTTGAGACGTACCAATAATTGTTCTCTAGCTGCTACATGGACAGCATGCAAAACATTCCACTTACCAGATTACCTAAAAAAACTATCTAACTCATCGGTTTTGGAACATTTCACTGATGTAAACAGTATACCGGGTACAACTGGACCAGGTATTCCCACTGTCATATGGTTGGCTCTCTCAACAAAATATGGCGGCGTGAATACCAATGCTTCTTCATCGTATGGTGCTGCAGCGGGTATGTAGACTATGTAGAAGATGAAAGATCATGGATTCTTATATGCAGTCAACAGTATATCCATAGTAAACGTTTCAAATAGTATTAGTTCAGTCATTAAGAGAAGAGACCTGACAAATATATTCATTCGACATTTGTCAGCAAAAAGATTAAGACAAAGGATATATTCAATTTTTCCTTATGTCTTGCTTCCTCACCGATAACATCGTTTATTAAAGTTCTATTTTTCAGCCGTCAGCCGTTTGGAGGCAGAATGTGGATGGGATCCAGGTTCATCAAACTTCGTTCATCCTGAATGCATCAAGCAATTTAGTTTTACTCGTAAACCGCGTTCTTTTGACATATCCGATTATTATCATGAAATTGACATTGTTATACCAACAATTCGTGATCTCGATTTTCTTGAACATTGGAAGCCGTTCTTTCGACACTTTCATTTAATTATCATTCAAGATGGTGATCCGAATAAAGTGTTAGAAATACCAAAATGGGCTGATTTTGAACTTTACAATAGATGGGATATTGACTATATATTAGGTAAAAATCAGTCATGGATCATTAGTTCACACGATGCATCAATTCGAAATTTTGGTTTTCTTGTTTCGAATAAAACATTCGTTTATACAATCGATGACGATTGTTTCCCGGCACGAACTCCTGATGGTGTTAAAATCGATGCCTTGTTAAGGCACATCCAAAATCTTATTACCAATTCGACTCCCTATTTCTTCAATACTTTGTATGATCCATACCGAGAAGGTTCAGATTTCGTTCGTGGTTATCCATTCAGTTTGAGACGTGGTGTACCTACTGCTATTTCACATGGTATTTGGCTTAATGCTCCAGATTATGATGCACCTACTCAATTACTCAAAGTCGATGAACGTAATACACATTTTGTTGATATGACTATTACAGTACCAGCTGGTGTTCTCTATCCGATGTGCTCTATGAATGTAGCATTCAATCGTAAGCTAATTGGTGTAGCCTTCATGCAAGGTCTTATGGGTTCTAATATGCCTTGGGGACGATATGATGATATGTTTGCTGGATGGGCTAGTAAAGTGGTGGCAGATCATCTCGGTCTTGGTGTTAAAACGGGAGCACCATATATCGAACATCACAAAGCTTCGAATCCATTTGTAAATCTAAAAAAGGAATATATGGGATTTTTCTGGCAAGAAGATATCATTGCATTCTTTCAGCAAGTCCGCTTTCCACCATCTATCAAAACGCCCGAAAGTTGTTATTTAGAATTGGCTGAAATGATTCGTTCACAACTCACTCATTTGCATCCATATTTCAATCGATTAGCAGAAGCGATGGAAATCTGGGTACACCTATGGAAACAAGCACAAAAAGGTACACTACGATTTCATCCGATTCGTCAAAGTTGGTCTAACATATCAACAAATCCATATGCAGTCTTTACTATTTGTCGAAATGAAAAAGGATACTTACCTATTTGGTTGGGATATTATCGACGTCACTTTGCCGATAAAGATATTTACATATTGGACAATGATAGTAATGATGGATCAACATCAAATCTCACTGTTAATGTTAATCGAGTTTCCTCTGAAAAATATTTCGATCATATGTGGCTTGTAGAAACTGTTCAAAATATGGCACGCAATCTATTTGAAAGAGGCTACAGATATATTTTATTTTGTGAAGTAGATGAAATGGTCGTACCTGATCCAATCAAATATCCTTTAGGTATTATCGATTACATTAAAAAAGCCAAAGAAGAAGTTATTCGTGTTAGCTCTTATCGAATAGTTCATAATACTACATTAGAACCGAAACTCGATCTCAACAAACCAATTATGCAACAACGACGTTATTGGGTGAAAGATAATGATTACAATAAACCTTTGTTGATAAGCAGAGAAATTCATTGGGTTGCAGGTTTTCATGAGTGTCAAGAAAAGGGCGTACTGTAAGATTTTGTTTGATTCACTTTATCAACGATTATGTTCATTTGTAATTTAGAGATCCGGACTTAATCATGATTCATCTTCAGCGAATGGACCTTGACTTTTATATGAAACGTGCTACTTGGAAAAGCAATCAGACCTTTAAAGCAGAAGATGTTCAAAGAAACTGGGGCACGCAACATCAGTTACGTGGGGCAAAAGCAGAAGAATGGTTTTTTAGCACCGGGGGAAATGTTTTTGAAATTCCAAAACAATTTCGCTCAGTACCTCTTTTCTAATACACCCTATTTATCGTGCTAATGTTTTCGCCAAAAGACAATTATAATCTAATAAAACAATGGAATAGAGAAAAGAATGATAAAGAATGCATGTCGATGTGGGTGAGAATGAAAGTTGAATTCAACTATTGTGACAATAATTCTTGATAGTATAGCGAAAGACAACTGACGGTGATTTTTTTAATTTTCAATAAGCAAAAAACTTTTTTCGATTGGAATATGACCTGATAATAATACGCACAGTCACACTGTCTCGTTCATATCTTTATTAATGTAAACTGTAAGAACAGAAGTCTTTCTTTCAAATCAAATCAGCAATGTTTGTAGGCAGTGCTTGGATTTGTGTATTATAATATTGTTCAATGTCATGTAATGTTTGTTGTTCATCATTGGTAATGAAATTGATTGCTATACCTTTTCGACCGAATCGACCCCTACGTCCAATACTTAATCAAAAAGAATAAAATTCATTTTTTTTCAACATTACTAATTCTTACCGACGAACATAGCTCTCGCAAATAGTCGGTAGATCATAATTAATAATAGGACTAATTTGTGGAATATCAGTATCAGCTTCAAGCCTATCCTTTCTTAACAAGATTTGACTGGTACCCATTCGAAATTCTTTTATGGCATCATTGCGTTGTTCTGCATTCATATTGAGATTCTACAATAAAAAGAAAATCAATTCGTATCTCACATGCAAGTCTTTACAAATGGTTATTTCAAAACTATTATCATCAAACTGACCAGAACAGATACAGTTAAATTATGTGCACGTAGTTTTTCAGATAGCCATTTGACTTTGTAGCATGTATTACAAAAGATGATAGTTTGTGTGATTGTTAATGTATCGAATAATTCATATAATTTATCTAATTTGTATTCCTGCATAAAAACAATTCTGTATCAATTTATCATCATCATAGAATAGCAAGTATGTCTATCTACCTCACGTTCAACATTCACGTAAAATTGACGAATGCCGTCGAGTGTTCGGTCTTCTCTCTTGGTAAGAATTTGCACAGGATCATTCATAAATTTAGCTGCGATTTCGAGTAATTCGCTGGACATCGTAGACGATACAACAATGACCTGAATAGTTCTTGATAACATTGTCAATAGCTCATAAATTTGGTCTTTGAAACCACGTGCTAAGAGCTCATCAGCATCATCTAATACGAACATTTTGATATTTTCACTATCTACAACGCAAAGAAGAAAAAAACTATAATACATATAAAATATAAATTACATACAAAGTGCTGATCTCTCCAACATATCATAGATCCGACCAGGCGTACTAACAACAACTTGAACACTAGTTGCAAGACGTTTCATATCCTCACGAATGTTCACACCGCTAACACGTGCATGACATGTTACATTCATATATTCACCTAGTGCTAAAACGACTCTATGGGTCTAAATCACAAAAAAAATCAAGAAATTGATAAGAAATAAAGATTACATGCTAGAGAAAACTATACCCCTTGAGCCAGTTCACGTGTTGGTACCAAAATTAATGCTTGACAATTTTTGCAGTCCACATTGAGTTGTTGTAAAACTGCAATACTGGCCATTATCGTTTTGCCTGTACCTGATTGTGCTTGTGCAATGACATCGTAACCTTTAAGAAGAATGAATATTGATTGAATAAATCCTAGTTTTAGAAAAATGATAGAAAACGAACCCGAAATACACGGTTTAAGAGTACGTTGTTGAATATCTGTAGGACGTTCGAAACCATAAGCATAAATACCACGTAAAAGTGATTCACGTAAGTTCATTTGATCGAAGTGCTCGACTACTTCTATCGAACGACCCAGGGCGGTGACATCATCGTGCGACAAAGATGGTTTGATATCATTACTTTCCTGAGAAAAGACATCTGTGCTCGCACTCCGATGATTACCGTTCCTAAAAACAAATATCAACGTACTCCTGAAATGATTAGAATGATTTATCAGTTATTAGGTATGTCTTACAAATATTCATCGAAGACCTACGAATCTCTACAAGTCTTAGAATTATAGCTTTGAACAAATAGTCTCTGTCGAACAAAAATCCTTTTTTCGATTTCTTTCTTCACAAGACATGTCAAAATATATAAGAAACAATACGTACTCTGAAGTAGTTGTTATTTCACAATCGTTTGATTTGATTTTCGTTTGATTATCAGTCATAAAGGAAGATAAATAAGTAATGTATTTGATCTACAGAGAACCAAAATCATTTATATCTCATTTAACATAGGCCGAAGAAAAAAAACTCAATCAGAATCGCATATCAAACGATTGATTTTTTTCAAAAAGAAAATGCATA